AGAGGAAGGGGGGGGGGGGTGGTGAAGCGAGTAAGGGGAAGAGGAGGAGCTGCTGGCGCCCCCCGCATAGTCGGCGGGGAGGACGGTGGCCCCGTAGGCAGAGTGGCCAATCCCCCAGCCACCGTAGTCACTCACTTGGGACGGACGAGGGATGGTCTCGACGTCGTCTTCGCTGCTAGTCGGGGCGGCTTCACCACTCCCGCCGCTCGACCAACCGAAGAGCCGCCTCATCGCCACACCGACGGCTGCCCAGTCAAGCCCACGGAGTAGCACCAGTTGCAACCAACCAAGACGAAAGACAAGAAGCTCCGAGCGTGTCGAGGACCAAAGACGGGGCTCTTCCGGCCGATGCTGCCTCTTGGAGGGTGCAGCAGGAACCCGGGGCACCTAAGACGAGAGCCCACTTCTTGCGCGCTTAGCAGCAGCAGCGGTTTCAGGGAGCACCCTAGGTGGCCTGACGGCCAAGTCCCCTGTCGTCTGTCCAACATGAAAACACACACCCTAACATGCAACCCGGACACGAAACGCGCTTAGAAGGTGCGAGCTCTGGCGAAAGAAGGTACGAAAACAGCGCTTCCAGGTGAAGGCAGTACAGAGACCTGTCTATTGACGAGATCTCACTCTTCGGCAATGAGTGGTTGACTAACTATCAACCACACAGATCCAACTGCGCATGATGGAGGCTGCCGGTCCGTCTGCTGACGAAGTGCGCCGCCTGCGCCAGATGTGTATCCACTCTCGCAGCCAGCACGACTCCCTCGTCGAGCCCTTTCTCGACTCATTCCGAGACGTTCTCTTGCGCATCAGCCTACCCAAGGGCGAGCAACGCCAAGGTCAAGACGATGTCGCCCTCGCAGCCGCCCCCTCCCGCCCCTCGCCCTATCCCAAACAGTTCCATCGAGATCTCGCGGATGTGACCGACCGCATCATGGCGGCGGATTCCGCGGTGCTTGGTTGGAATTTCAGTATGCTTCTCGCCCCCCTGCTGGCCCATCTGCAGTCCCAGCGGCTGGTGGACTCTCTTGCCAGACCAGACGGGTGTCTGCCCGGTGACCTGCGTGTGCTGGAGGGCATCTCGCGGGCTCTCGCGACGCTCATTCGGCGTGCTGGCGTGCTGGGCGCCATCTGTCAGCAGATGGGTGATGAAGGGATGCATCCACACGATGAGGCGGGTGGTGCGGGGGGTGGTGGTGCCGACCGTCGGCTCAAGATGCTGGGCATAGTGGTGCCTCACGTGGCCCGCTGTCTGGAGAATGCCAGCGTGCAGAAGGACGAGGTCTGCGTGTTGGCGCTCATCGACCTGGCCGACGCCGTCAACCTCACTCTGGCCGGCTGCCTCAGCTCACTCGGCAAAGCCGAGGCCGACGGCCTGGTGATGGCGCGAGAGCGGGTGCCTGGTGGTACCACCTCTGCACCACCCCCACCACCACCACCCTCTCCCGTGGCGATTTTCGGCGTGTGGACGGGCATCTTCATCTCCCACTCGCTCGCCATCTTCGCCAGCCTCCCGACACGCGCAGTGCGGCTGCAGATCTGTCAGGCGCTGCAACGGATCCCCGCTTTGTTTGATGATGGGGGCGCCAGAGGTGGCGGGGAGAATGAGGCGGGGGCAGCAACAGCAGCGCCACGAGGAGCGGCCTACGAGGCGCTGTGCAACCTTTTCCCCTCTGTGGCCACACATCTGAGCGGCTACCTCCGCTCGGCCGGTCACGTCGAGAGCACCTCCCCACTGGTGGCGGCCGCAAATGCCCTCACCTCATGGATCGATGCCGTCCTGAGAGACGACCGAGTGCGACCCTTCGCAGCCGATGCGGCAGAGAGGGCGTGTCATGACGGCATGGCTGTCGATGAGCTGAGAGAGGTGATGAGAGGCTGGGCGGCTTTGGGGAGGAGGGAAGGGGCGGGTGGCGGTGGCGAGGAGGGGGGCAAGACGAGAAAGGAGGACGGCACGCTGCTGCTGGGCCCGGCGTGGGTCAGAGAGACCTCGGAAAACGTCATGAAGCGAGTGGAGGTGAGATAGGCAGATGGGCGAGCAAGAAACGACATATGAATCCGGTTGTGTCTCCTTTCATCCCATGTGTATATATCTCAGTTGATATTCACCCGCCCCCCTCCCTCCGCCGGCGAGAGCCCTCGTCTGCGGCTGGCCCTCACCCAGCTGGCGGCAACACTCATGACCAACTGCTCCGTCGCCATGTGCTGCGCCGGCGGCCGCAAGACACCTACGACCACCAACATCGTCGACACGCTCGACTATCTTGTGTCGGCTTTGGGCGATACTGACGATTGTGTGGTGTCGGAGGCGATGAGGGCGCTTATGGGGGAGGTCGTGAGGGGGAAGATGGAGAGAGAGGTGAGGGGCCGGATGAGGGCGGCGATCAGGGCGCTGAACGGGGAGGAACTGGCAAGTAAGTGCGGAGGGGGAAGTGTGGCGCCGTGATGTGATGTGTAAGTTGTGTTGTGTCTCTGTCTGCAGATGAGGTGAAAGTCAAGGCGAAGCTGACCCCTCGGCTGACGCGCGTGCTGGGGTGGGTCAGCGACACAGCTGCCTCATTCATTGTCTTTTGACGGATGCACCTTGTTGTTTTTACTATCAGGTACGCCCGGCTGGCGCACGACCTCCGCAAGTCGATGAGTGCTGGTGGCTCGATGCCGCTGTCGTCCTCCTCGGCTCCCTCATTCGACCTCTCAATCGACGCGGAGGTCATCTCCCAGCTGCTGGCTGTCACACAGCTGCACACGCCACCACTCAAGGTAGGCAACAAACACGGGATGTAGCCATGCAGACAGACAGACAGACAGACAGACACGTGGGGCACTCTCTGTCTGTCCTATGGATGCGCATGCGGTCTTCAGTCGACGCTTCTCGACACAACCACGCTCACATCGCTCCCAGCCAAATCGGTGGGCGGGCAATCGATCACAGATAGATGGATCGATCTCGGTGCACCATTCTGGCCGGCCACTGTGTGCATTCCGCTTTGCTGCTGGGTGTCGCCCCTGTGTGTGGTCATATCAGATATCGGCATCTGAGACATCCGTCGATCTGTTCCCCTACCGGCTGCCAGAAGACGAAGTGCTGCTGCCCGTCGACCTAGAACAGCAAACTGCGGCCGAATGCTCAGAAAGCACACCAGATGGGGAAGGGAGTTCTTCTCGTGGTGGTGGTGGTGGTGTGGTGTCGTGTGTGCGGGTGGGTCTGATGGACGAGGGGCAGCCGAGGAAGTGGATCGACAAGGCGCTGAAGCTGCCGCAGGGCGACAGAGAGACAATCAGGTGCGAAGCTGTGCCTGCCTGCATAGATGGACGGATGAGTGCTGTCTTATCTATCTGCCCTTGTCTGTCTTTGTCCTATGCTGTCTGTGGTGCAGTTTGTTGGTCGAAACACTGGAAGCCCTGGTGTCCCATGACGCGCCATCCCTCCTCCTCTCCCTCGTCAGCCATCCCCCCTGCCAGTGGCACACACAGCTCACCGACACAACCACCGCCAGCAACGACTGGTACCTCCCACAGCACCAGCACCCTCCCGCCCCGCTGCCCCTCTCCCACACGCGCATGCACGCCCGCATGGCGGCTCTCTACATCCTCACCGTCGCCCTGGACCTGGCGGCCAGGCGGCCGTCGTCATCGCTGCTGCCCCCATGGCTGGTGCGGTGGTGTGCGGACCTGTGTGTGTCGACGGAGACCATGCCGCGGGCGCTGGAAGCTTATGGTGGGGGCACTGATGGTGTGTGTGAGGGGAGGCTGTATGGGCTGGTGTGGATGGAGTGCCTCCGTGCGGCCATGAAGGCCCTGCGCAGGTGTGAAGAGCAAGAGACCGACCAGAGGGGCAGGGGAAAGGGAGCCGTGCATCGACAGGTGAGAGAGAGACAGAGTGAGTGTGCCCATGATCAGATCAACCTTTCTCTCGGTGTTGTGTTGTTTGTTCATCGGTCGGCTCGCTCAGGTGAAGCACATTCTCTTCCCCTTGTTGGAGAGGCTGGGCAGCCACTCGCTCGTCACGTCCACCGCCGCACACGCCACTCTCAACACCCTGGCCCAGCTGCTGCAGACGAGGAGGGATGATGGCAAGAGCGGCAGCAGCACCGAAGGCGGCGAAGGCATCCCCTGGCTGCTGGAGCACTACGCCGACTACCTCATCGACACCATCCTGCGGCGGATCACTTACACACACCCCGAGGTCAGCACGCACAACAACACAGCCACACGCCACACCACACCACACACAGGCGTGTGTTGCTTGGTGCTTGGTGGGTGCAGCTGTTGTTCGTGTCAGTGGAGGCCTCTTCGCCGCCCCTGCTGGGCTTCCACGAGCACCAGGGCGGCCACACGGGCACCATCCTGACCTCAATCGTCACCTTCAGCACCCCGGCACTCGTCCCCTACCTGCTCGACATCGTCACGGCCCTCCTCGACGCGCTGCCCCCAGACGGCCACCACGGCCGCTTCACCACCCCTGTGTGGGTGCTGCGTGTCTTTGCTGCAATCACACGAATGCTCGCCTCGGCCATCTTCCAACAGAGGCTGGCGCGAAGGACACAGAGGGCGGCAGGGAGAGGACCGCGTCCAGGCAAGAGAGATGATGAAAGTGCCGTCGGGTACTCCCCCTTGTGCGGCGTGCTGAGTGGCGAGCGGCCTTACTGGACTGAGGAGCGGCGGGTTGACGGCTATGATGAGCGGGACCTGAAGGACGACCAGTGGCTGGACGAGGACCCACTCGAAGACCACCAAGACGACAGTGCAGACACGACGGGAGAAGGCGTCCACGATCCGAGCAAGGAGCCTCCTGATGCCGCACAGGGAGAGGCTGGTGTGGTGGATTGGGTGTTGGGTGGGAAGGGCAGTGGTGGTTGGTCAGGGCGGCTGGGGGCTGGTGGTGACGTGTGGGGCGATGGGGTGTATGCCAAGGAGCGGTGGCTCGCCGACGAGATCATGGGCAGGGCCAGACACCACCTCAACAGAGACCCTAGGCAAGCTACCTAGCAGATCAGCTGAGCGAGGGGGAGAGGATTCATCTGTGTGGGTGGTGTGTTGTGTCTGTCGGGTGTGTGTGTGTGTAGGTTGGTGGCTCGGTACCTGTCCCACCTGTGTGTGCTGCACGCGACCTCTGTCCTCTCGACGCGCATACGGCAGCTCAAGCCGCGCATCCATGACGTAAGTAAAGTGTGCACAAAACAAGACGCTCGCTAGGGGCGGATGACTGATAGGCAGGCAGGCAGCTTGTGGTTCGTTCGACCGGTCGGTCATGTCATGTAGGTGTGGCCATCGTTGGTGCCGTCATTCCACCTGTCGTCTCCCGTGCCCATCGTGACGGTGGCCTGTCTGCTGCTCAAACACACTGCCCGCATATCGGGCGACTTCCTCAGAATGAGGTGCGGGTGGGGTGCGTGTCAGTCAGTCAGTGAGGGAGGGAGGGGAGAGGGAGGGGAGTGCCGCCTGTTCTCTCTCTCTGTTTGTGGCCATGCATGATTCATTTCGTTCGTCAGGTTTGGCAATGACATCTTGCCTCTGTTGATAAAGCGGCTGGGTGCATCCCCGCCAGCCTCCGAGGAGGACTCCCGGCTGAAGAGCAACGCCTTCAAGTGAACAAACAAATCACTCACGAGCAAGAAGCGAAGCACACACACGCTCTTTCGTGAATGTTTTTGTCCCTTTCCTTGTGGTGTGGTGTGTACCTAAACCCATCTGTCTGTCTGTCTTTGTGTGCATCACATCAAACAAACAGGTTTCAGTATGCCAGTTGGGACCTGCTGTCGTTGATCGCCAGAGAGCCCTCCCTGCTGGCCACGTCCGTCCCCCAAGTCACCCTCACCGCACTCAGCGCCCTCCGCACCCACCCCACGACGGCAGCAGCCATCAAGACACTCATCCTGCGCCTGTTCGACACACTCGTCGCCACACACGCCGACACCATCGACCTCCTCTGCAACACGGTGCTCGAACCATCGGACCAGGACAGTGACACCGCCGCTTTCTTGGCTGAGCTCGGGTGGCGGGGGGGGAGTGGGGGCGAGATTGACAGAGAGGCGGTGTGTGGAGTGTTGGGGCGTGTGAGGGAGGAGGAGATGCGCCTGAGGGCGCGGATACCTCCGTCGATGAGTGGGCAGACGTTCGTCGACTTCTTGAGTAGTGCCCGCAGGCAGTGAGTGACGACAAGAGCAGAGCCGCAGGCAGCGCAGAGACAGAGAGATGCCAGTGGGGCAGCCAGCGGCTTTGTATGAATGTATGTATGTATGTGTATCTCTGTGCTCGTTTGACCTGCGCCGGCCGCGCCACACATCAACATGACGGCGAATCTCTTCCAAACACGACGTTCCTTCACACCCCGCTGCTGTCCGATGCAGTCAGTTCCTGGGTGGTGGGTGCAGCGCTGAATGTGCCCGTCTTCACCCATTTACTGGGATGTCGTCACACCCCGTTGACATGGCGAGCTTCTGTCCGATGCAGTCAGTTCATTCAGCTTCTGGGTGGTGGGTGCAGCGCTGAATGGGGAGAGAGAATGCGTGTGAGTGATGACCATTCGTCGATGTGACGGGAGATAACATGTGTTTGTTCAGCAGAGAAAGTAGTTAAGTGTACAAAAACAGTCGGTGGATCGCTGTGCCGTCCGCCATTCCATCCGTCCGTCCATTCCACTCCATTCACAGACCACTTACTCCACTCCACACACCTCACTCTCACTCACCCACAGCATAAATCTCTCTCCCACTGTCCACATTATCCATCCATCCATGACCTGCAGCTGCCGGTTTCCTTCCTCCCTCTCCTCGTCAGTCAGTCAGTTGCCGTTTTTCTTCTGAATCCACGACGCCACGTGGAAGCCCCACGCGAGCGGCCCGAACCAGCCACCCACAAGGGCTGGGGGTGCGCCGGGCCCCCATTGCAGGCTGTAGACGAAGATGGCGAAGGCCACGATGGAGAGGGCGCCGAACACCGACGAGGAGATGTTCTGTCCGATGCCCAGCACCTCAGGGGACGGGATGGTGCCACGGGTGTATGGGAAGCCATCACCCTGAACGACACCCACCACGACACACAAGCAAGGGTTCGGATGTGTTGCTTTGTGTGTGCTGTTCTTGGCCTCGCATCGCTCACCATGTCGATGGCGGCGTTGCGTGGCCTGTCGATGCCCGTCATATCGTCGTACGCCTTAGACTTCTGCACGTCCTTACTCGCTTGCAAAACTGGAGGAACAAGCACAGCACGAGAGTCAGTCAGTCCATCGTTCACCGGCTTCTTGTTGCATCCATCGTCCCACGCAGCTCACCATTTCGCGAAGGCCTCATGGTCGCGCTTCGTTCCAAAGGCGTGGGCACGACGAAGGCAGTCGCCAGCTCGGCCAGCAGCAAGCACGCCAGAGTCGCAGTGACCGCCTGTTTCATCATCGCTGCTTCTGCTGCTGCTTTAGGAAGGGAGGGTGATGGAGCGGCTGCCTTCTGCTCGGTCAAATTGGATCGCGCCAATGAAATGCGGATGAGCGTAAATAGATAGATCCGAAGGCCGCAGGGCGGCAGTGTCAAGGTGGTAATGCCCAGATGCTGCCGCTACCCATTTGCAACAAGATCAACCCTTTTCGGGGCCATCTCCGAGCTAAGCTCGCAGGCTTTTCAGCTCGCCCTTGACGGCGAAAGATCTGCTGCATTGTTTGTGGTGGAAAGCACTCGGCGAGGTTGAGTGTGTATGGATCAGAAGCGGCGCCGCATCATGGCTGAGTACACTCTCGACGACAAGGGCAGCATCGCCTTCAGAATCACAAACGTATGGCAGGGCAGATAGACGCAGGATGATGAATGATCCTGTTCAAGATGATGAGATCTGTGCGTGTGCTATATATGCAGGGCGTCACTGGGAGTGTCTGCAAGGTGGCGCAACTCGGAGCCACTGTGGTAATACAGAGCACTAGCTGTGTGATGACATACATGGGTGGGACTCAATGCGCATACATACACACACAGAAACCCACATGCATGTGCCCAGGTGTCGTGGCGCGGCAAGGGAGGCGACGAGCGGCTCTTCGTCAGCACCAAGTCCGAGTTCACCAAGGGCAAGGCTGTCAGGGGCGGCATTCCCATCTGCTGGCCACAGGTGCGGCGGCAGCAGCACCCATTGTGCGTCGGCTGCCACACTGTTTGTTTGTGTGTGGCTGTGCTGTGTCAGTTTTCCTCGTATGGCGACTTCCCCAAGCACGGCATTGCTCGCAACAACCTGTGGATAATGAGGGATGTCGAGACGGACGCGTCGGGCGGGTCGGTGACGGCCACCTTCATGCTCATGGACGACCCTGAGGTGGCCAAGCACGTCCAAGGCATCACACTCGGTCGGTGAGTCACTTCAGTGTGCCACGCAATGCAGCATCAGACAGACACTGCTGAGGGGTGAGGTGCGTGCACTCATTGGGAGGGGGTGTTGTTGCTCTCTGCGTCAGAGTATCGCGTGACGTTGGACGGTGAGGACAGGCTGATCACGGAACTGGTTGCCCGGGGCCACCGCGACACGCCCCTCAAGACCACCGTGTGCCTCCACACCTACTTTGCCGTCGGCGACATCATGCAGACCTCCGTCGTCGGACTCAAAGGTGACTGACCGACCGACCATTCCACCATCGCACGAGGCGCCACCCCGTGTGTGTGCAGGTGCGGCCTTCTCGGATCAGGTGGCCAAGGAGGAGGCCGAGCAGGAGTCCGAGGAGCTCACATTCGGCTTCGAGTGCGACCGCATATACCACAACAACGCGACGGAGACGCTGGAGATCCGTGACGCCAAGAACAAGCGCAAGTTTCTGGTGAGCAAGTCGCCGGAGCTGTCTGACTGGGTGGTGTGGAACCTCTGGAAGGAGAAGGCCCTCCAGATGGCAGACATGGACGACGACGGATACTCGAAATACGTGAGTGGAGTGCTGCCGGGGATGGGGCAGGGGCAGGGCAGGGCAGGGGTCGTGTCGTCCGTCCATCGTGTGGGTGGGATGTGCTGTCTTGGTGCGGGGCATGGCATGGACTGCAGGTATGTGTGGAGCCGACGCGGTACAGCCAGCCTGCTGTGATCGAGGCGGGCGGGGAGTTCCGCTGCAGACAGACCATCCAGGTGCTGCCCATGTGAGCTAGCTAGACGGAGGACGGCAAGTGATAGTGACTGTGGAGTGTGGCTGTGGGTGGTTGGTTAGTAGGGGGTGTTTAGCTGAGTAGGGAGGGGTTTACGTAAGTGTCCATAGGGTTATGCCTTCCTGTGTGTGCCGCACGGGTGGTTTCCTTCTAACTGTCTGCCGTTCGTGTGCATACGAGATCTGTGGCTGGTCGGGCGAGGTGATTCCTCGACGTGCGTAGGCTGCTGGATGTGATGTGATGTGATGCGTCTGAGTTGAATGTGAATGTGTCTGCCATGAGATAGATGCACGTGTTTCTTCCCGTCTGCTGCCGCCTCCTGCGCCCCGTCAATTGCTCTGCACGCAATCGCCGGGGCATTCGAGGCGGATGTGGACAGTGAGGGACACGTGCATTGCGTGCCGAATGGATCTTGGTTGAGACACAGACAGACAGACGGACGGACGGACGGATGGATGTGTGGCGAGATTCAAGTTGCTTCGTCGGCAACAACACGATTTGACTCTCCGCGCCGGTCTGCCCTTCGGGCATCCCTCGCTGTCATCAACGCCCCACGCATTGGTAGGAACAAGACTTATCGACACGCAACACACACGGTCCGTCTCGATCTCAAGACACATGCCAGTGGTCGTGGCTGTCTATCACATCTTTCTTTCCTCACGAAGGAAGCGTCGATTGACAGAGAAACAGACGAGAAATGCATCCCTCCCTCCAGCCCTACTACCTACCTGTCCGCCACACAACACATCGCATATATCGCCCCACTGCCCACCACAGCGCCGAGATCGACCATTGACTGACTGACTGACTCCCTCACTCCGCCGCCCATTGCCGCTCCTTATCGTCATACACGACAGCCTTGCCGGCCTCACTATCCTCCCCAACTCCCCCGTTGTCTCCCCCCTCCCGCTTATTGCCTCCCTCTCGCCCACCGTGAAGCTTCGTGTCCTTCATCTGTGGGTCAGCATTGATCCACTTGGCGACGATTCTGCCCCCCTCCTTGACAGCTATCTTCCCCCCCTCCCTCAGCCACTCGGCCGCTGCATTCGCCCTGCAGTTATGAGGATTGTTCTTCTCGTCAGCGGCAGGGCCTCTTGCCTTGGGGTCCGTCTGGCGCATTTCGTTCATCGAGATGACGTCGTTGCCGTGTGAGGCGGCTGCAATGAGGTACCTGGCATGCTCGGCTGCAGAGTCGATGGCCCGCCGTTCGGTGCCATTGGAGGGGAAAGTGGCGTGGGCCGCCAAGACCAGCTGCGAGAGGTGGCTGAGGATGTGGTGGGTCCGCTCGGGGGCGTCGACCCGGTGTCTGTCGTTGCACAAGTGCCCCAGGTCGCCAAGGAAGTAGAGGAGCCGTCGGGTGACGGCCACGTCGCCCCTTCCGTAGTGCCGCAGAGGGTGCATGCAGACGTCCAGCAGGGTAGCAAAGGTGCACGCTGGCATGGCCACACGCAGCCCCCCCTGGCTGTCATAGGCGAAGATGTGGTTGAGCTGTTTGGCGGCGATGGTCGCGAACAGCACACTCAGGCGGTCGATGGCCTGCACTGCCGAGTGGGGATCGTTCACACCAGGGGACAAGGCACGCACAGCCTGCAAACCGACCTCACACCACACCACACAGACATACACAGCCTTAATTGCCTCCCTCCCTAACGGCTCTTTCTTGGCTTGCGCACCACGTCTGTGATTTCCCTGATGGAGAAGGACATGTCGTCTCCACCCGTCCTCTCGCCAGCTATCAGCAGCGCACCATTGGCCGCACCCTCGATGCGTGACAGCATCTCTGAGTCGATGCTCTCGCGTGTCGCTGGTGGCAACGCTGCGCCCACTGGTGGCGGCTCGTCGACCGATGCTGAGGTGCGGGGCGTCTGGTGATTGTCCTGTGACGAAGGAGGCGGGTCGTCAGTGGCCCGCAGCCACACCCACCCCTATACACACACACACACACACGAACATCCGGAGACGCGTCTGTTAGGCATCTTAAGATACATCCATCTGACTACACACGCGTACCAGGAGAGTGCCCTTGGTGACATGGTCGCCCACTCGGTGCGCCAGCCTCAGCACCAGCTTGTCGTCCATGTTCGTCAGCTGCCTCGCAAGTGGCATCAGCTCAGCGGCCTGAATGTACCCCGAGCGATCGACACGCAGCCGCTTGGCGCCCACGGGCACCAGAGGCAGCTCTGATGCGATGGCCTTCATGGGCAGCTCTGCGAAGAGCTGTAGCGAGGGATCGTCGATGCTGTCGTTGCGCCGCACCAGCTTGGTGGAGTCGTGAAGGACGTCATCAAAGATGGACTCCAGCCGCATCCCACGCGTGAAGTAGTGGATGAAGAATATGAACGTGCCTGCATCACACACATCCACAAACGCCTTACTCCCTCCCTCCCTCCCTCCCTCTGTCTGTCTCTCTCTCTAACCAAGCACAAGGAAGAGGTAGATGAAGAGCAGGTTGACGGCCAGCTCCGGCACATATGGCTCCTCGTCGTCTGTGCTCTGGCCCATTGCGAATTGCACCGAGAAACAGTAGGCGTAGCTGCCCAGAAACACGCTCAGGCAGAACTTGTTGGCGGCCTTTCTCATGTAGCTGTCGAGCAGACGGGGCGAGTACTGCTGGCTGAAAAGCTGAAGGGCCAGAACTGCACACACACACACACACGCTCACACACACACGCCGATCAGACGAACATGCAGCGGATGTGAGTCTCTCTCGTTCTCTAACTGCGCGTGTGTGTGTATACCAACCAGTAAGACTGAAAGTGAGTGTGACGATTGCGATGCATGCAGACGCTATCATGCTAAGAAGTGCCCTGGCCCGCCCCACATCACCCACGACGTACGGCCACCGCCACCGCACATCGTCCTGTCACACATCATGATGCACACACCGAGAGAGAGAGAGGCTAGCAGGTGATTGCAATTCATCACAGCATAATCTCCACCCGTATGTATGTATGCGTGTGTCCCCATTACATTCTACCTGTTCGTATTGCCACGAGGGGATGGGGATGGAACCGAGAATCAAACCCAGCAAGGCGTTGCAGAACACTGCATTCCAATCAATGCATGCACCACAGGAGCGAACAAACAAACGATATCAGATCAGCTGGCGTATCCGTACTGACTGACTCGTTGCTGCTTGGTGTAGATGTAGGAGTGTAGTAGAGTGTAGTAACAGTACCCGAGAGGAAGGGGAAGAAGAAAAAGGACCGCTCCAGCCTGCCGTACAGGCTCCGAAACCTCACTGTCAGGGCCGCTGCAACCATCGGGATCGAGATCTCTGGTGTTCTGCCCTCGACTGCTTCCTTCCCTCCGCTGCGTCCAGGTCACTCCGCCCAGGGGAGGTCCAAACAATCTTGCGATCTCAAAGGTTGCGAGGACAGTCCTTGAAACCTTCATCGCAGCGGCAGTTTATCGCATCTACAAGCAAGAGCATCATATCGCATCACAGCATACCGCATCGCAGAGAGATGGACGTCCAGCCAAGGCACGAAGAGAGTGACACATGGCATCCCGAGAGGCAGGTAGAGTACGGGAGAAGAAGGAGGACGGCACAGCTGCTCACCCGGTCTCATGACGTGATGCGTCTGGTTGTGGTGCAGCTGATTCTGGGTGAGTTGAAGCAGACGAGAAGGATCGTCTCGTGGGGTGCTGCGATTGTCGGTCTTCTCACGATCATTTCAGCTGGTACCGAGGGGATGGATGGATGAGCGCGGCACATTCACGTGTGTGTCGGGTATGGCGCATGTGTGCGTGCGCTTGCTGCAGGCGTCCTTGTTGTCGACATCCAAAGTGAGCGCCGACTGACACACACAAAACGATGGGTGCTTTGCGGCATGTGTTGACGGCCGGCTGGCCACACATGGTTGTTTGTGCTGCTTCTCTGATTCTGTCTTTCCCCCCTCAGTGCTCAAGGAGGAGCGGGTGGATCCCGACTCGAACATCATTCTATCGCAGAAGAACAAACGGCCCCTCCGTGTGCAGGAGCAGTTGGACATCATTCCCCTCCATGTGCTCAACGCCGTCCCGCTTCAGAGTCTGCAGAAGCTGCAGACAGTCACCCTGCAGGTCCGCACGATGGATGAACGTGACGCCGTGTGTTGATATATGCACACCGCCTTTTTGTGTGCATCTGTTGTGTGTGTGTGTGTGTGTGTGTGCAGGTGGCCGAGAACACCACAAAGTTCTACCAGATCCACGCGGCGTCCCGTGACGACTATCGCAACGCCACGACACTTTTTTTGTCCCTCAGCACCACACTCGAGCTCACATCAAGTAACCACACAGCGGCAACACAACACGCCCACCACACACCACCACGCTTGCATCGGTGTCCTGGTGTCTGTCACGATCCATCAGGCACCGCCCGTCTGATTGAGGACGGCACGCTGCTCCAAGAGTGGGAGCTGACCACAGCGCAGCAGCACGCTGCAGCAGTTGACAGTGACGACACCGATGAGACGAGGAGGCGGCTTTGGGCTTGGGGCGCGAGATACCGCGCCATCCCTTATATGGGACCAGCGGCAGCATACCCTGTCGGCTATGCCGTCGGTCAGTGAAGGGAGAGAGAAACACAGACAGACAGACAGACAGACAGACAGAGAAGCAAACACCGACCACATGGGTCCGTCTCTCTTTGTGCTGTCTGTTGTGGCTGCGTGCGGTGCAGCCGTCCCGGTGTATCCTTACACTGCGGCTGCCCCGGCCTATGCGTATCCGTCGACCCCCTATGCCGCCGGATACTACAGCCCAGCGGCCGCCGCAGTGGCTCAGAACCAGGACGCATATGGCTACCCGGTGCCGGCCAACGGCGCAGCGACAGCTGGCAACGCCGTCGGGTACTACAACCAGCCCGTCAGGGTGCCGCCATGACGTACGTATTTGTTGATTGGTCATGGCGGTGTGTGGGGCATACTTTATAGTTTATGCGTAGGGAGACAGAGAGAGAGAGAGACGCAGGTGTGGTATATCTTTCTATCTGTGTGGGTCAGTGGTCAGTCAGTGTGCTAATTGATGTGTATCGGCACAGCACACCGGCCCTCCCTCGGCGGCCCTCCTTTTTTTCGTTGGAAGGTCGTAGGTGGGCATCTGTAGTTGTGTTCTGCAGTGGGCTGGGCGGGAGGGAGGTTTGTGTTTCTTTTCAATGAGCCCGTTTTGATTACCTACCTACCTACCTACCTGCATCTTTTGGCTCCTTCTGTCGCTGCTTGTGGTCTTTATGCTAGCCGCCCTGTGTGCCTGGATTTCCGCCAGTGACTGCAGTGAGGCCAGGCCGCTGTTTGTAGGCTCCTGTGTCAGTCAGGAGAGATTTGAGCCTTTTTTGTTTGTGTCGTCAGTCAGTCATTTTGGCAGACAGGTTAGGTTGGTACATACAGGACAGACACGTGTACGTGTTGGCCGTCACCTCTCTCTCCCTCCGCTGTATGATCTGTGTACCGCTACTCACCTATGGTGCAGGTACTGTCTCTACGTTTCTGCCTGGGTACGGAAGGAGAGAGAGGTGACACTCTGACCTTTTTGTATAACGTGACTAGTCAGAAGGGCAAAAGGGATGAACAGACAAGCTTGACATGATTGTTGCTTCAGGGCCGATGAACCAACCTGGTCGATCTCCGCATGCATCCAGCCTGGTCAGACATTAATTGTCGTTGCATGTGTAGACAAAGACACGAATAAAGGGGAAGCAGCAGCGCCATTGCCGCCACAGCAACCTGGCATGCATTTTACGGCATGCAGACTGGGGGTCTTGCGCGCTTAGCCCCCATGGAGGAGTTCTTCGGGGGCAGTTGTCTAGCAAGGTCCACCACCAGCTGCTGAGTGCAACCTTGCAAGTTGGAGCCATGAATGGCAGGAACAACCATGCCGGTGAGAGAGAACGGAGAGAACAACACCCACCGGAGAGAGCACACGCACCAGTGCTCTAGCTGCGCTTGCAAGAATGTGTGCTTCCGCGCGTGTGTCTTATCTGTGCAGGCCGCGTGCAGCACGTGGGCCCTCCCCGGCAGAGGAACGGAGGCAAGAAGATGGTGAGGGCCCTGGCGACGCAGGACTCCCAGAACCGGCAGCCCGTCCGACTGGAGTTCCCGCCCGACACGCAGCTGCACGAGATTGTCATCCCAGCTTCGGACATCGTGCAGCGCGTCGGGCAGGATGAGGACGGCTCCTACGTCATCACGACCGAGGCGGCCTCCAAGTTTGATCTCACCACCAGCCAGGGCAGGCCGCCCAAGAAAGAGGCGTCCCCCGCCGCCGCTGCTGCCGCTGCTGTGTCCATGGTGCCGCTGCCTGTGGTGCCGATGAGGTCGGTGACCCCTCCTCCCGTTTTCGCGAGGCCTGTGAGTCCGCCGCCTCCACCTGCCATGTCGTATGTGCCGCCGCCTGTTGCCGCGTCGTATACAGTTGCCCCGCCTGCGCCCAAAGTGATGCGACCTCTGTCTCAGCCACCCCCCAGCCACGTGCTCGTCCCTCACCAGCCTGTGCCACAGCGCCCTGTCACTCCCCCCCCTGCTGCTCAGTACGTCCGGCCACCGATTGCCCAGCCCATTCAGGCTGTCCCTGTCGTTCCCAAGTTCGCCCCACAGCCGCCTGTGTTGATTCAGCCGCAGACCTATTTCGCGGCGCCCTCGCCCGCATCCACTCCGTCCACCCCTCCGCCTCCCAAGAGAGTGATCCACTACCGTGAGGCCTCACCGCACCCTCTTTCCCCTCCGCCGTCGCTTTTGATGGTGCCCAAGGTCAAAGCCCCGCCGCCACAGATGCAGATGGCGGTGGGGGCGCCTGCGCCTTCGCCACCACCTGTGGTTGTGCACCATCCGCCGGTGAGGACCATGCCGCTGCCTGCAACCGTGCCCGCACCTGCCCCTGTCCTTGAGGGGCCGCTGCCGCTGCGAGTGGCCTCAATGCTCGACATTCTCGACCGGGACATTGCCACGTAAGACAACAAGACGTAGCGTGATGTGTCTGTCTCTTCTGTCTATCTATATTTGTGTCTCTCTCCTTTTTTCCCAGGTTCATGCAGCAGACGCACCAGATGAACGTCTGCACCCAGACGGTGGAGGTGCAGTACGGCCAGATGCACGGGCGGGGCGTCGACCCCCGTCTCGCCCACCAGGCCTTGCAGGCCGCCCAGCAGTGCGCCAACACCCTCGCCCGCATCGCCCAGAACCTCCGCAAGGCCCAGCAGCTGCTCCACGAGTGGACGAGCGAGCTGCAGGCCAAGGACGCCGACACGCGCCGGAGGATGGCGGAGGATCTGGAGCGTCGGTGCGGCAAGGCCCTGGACACACTGATTGCGACGTGTGAGAAGGAGTCGAGGGCGTCTAACGGCAGGCGTGAGCGGCCGCCGCCCAAGGAGGACTCGCCGGGCTTCTGGTCGCTCAGGCGTGTGCAGGACGAAGTGGAAAAGCTCAAGAACGTGAGATCGGGAGACACAAGGGGACAAGGCCTATGTTTCTCTCTCTCTCTCCTTTGCGTGCAGATCATCATAGCCATCATCCGCAGCTCTGTCGGCGGCATCCACGCCCCCGTGACGGTGACGGCCCCACTGCCACCCAGGCAGGTCATCAGTGCGCCCGAGGACAGCCGTCTGCAGCAGGAGCTGGCGGCTCGGCTGCGGACCGTCGGAAACGAACTCAAGCGGGCCTCTGATCAGCTGGAACAGTCGCGCAAGAAAGACAAAGAGGTCAGTCGGGCTCAATGGATGGATGGATGGATGGATGAGCACATACACACACGGCCTTGCCATGTTTGTCAGCTTGAGAGGACCTTGCAGCACGAGCGGAAGACGCACGAGGCTGAGTTGGCCCGCCTCGGCAATGAGCTCCGTGAGGCCCGCTCCAAGACCCCTCCCAAAAGCCAAATAGCGGGGGGCGACCAAGAAATCGTCAGACGACTGCAGGCAAGTAGTACACTCCCTGGCGCCCAAGGGACACATCACATACGGGTGTGTATGGATGTGTGTGGGTGTGTGTAGCAAGAGCGTGACCAGTACGCTGACGAGGTGTCTCGTCTGCAGGTGGACCTGCACTACCTCAAGAAACAGAAGCCAGACGACTCTGACAGACGCAGGCTGGAGCGAAAGGCAAACGACCTGCAGGTCAGTCACCTCACCCCGGCCACCGAAGCAAACAGGGGAGGGAAGAGACCCTGTATGTATGTTGCTCGTCTGTCAGCGAGAGCGAGATCAGCTGCAGGAACACGTCATGAAGATGCAGGCACAGGTTGGTCGACCACATGTGGTCTGCCTCCAATTGGGTTTGATTGGCAATCCATATATTGCTGCAGTTTTCGAAAGGTCCCGGTCTGCAGAATGAGGTGAACGGTCTGAGGCGGCTCAACACTGACCTCATGGACACAAACAAGAAGCAACAGGCTGAAATCACCAGACTCAGATCGGAAGTCACAGTGAGTCACTGACAGAGACAGACAGATCACACGACCCTCCGTGTGTGACTCACCTGCATGTCGCTGTGCCATCTTCTGACAGGGCGGCGAGAAGCGCGGCGGCATTCGTCCCATCTCTCGCCTGGACGAGGTGTGCAAACAAGCATCAAAGACCATCTGTCTCCTTCTGTCTCAGCATTGGGTGTTGCTGTCAATGCATTGAACAATGGCATGTATTGTACGCAGATGGGGCCTGAAATTCTGAGTGAGGTCAAAGGTGGGCGCAAGAGCGCGAGGCTGCGTGACGAGGACATGGCTGAGAAGATTCGGACGCTGCTCAAGGAGGTTGAGGAGCTCAAGAAACAAGCCAGCGCCATGGAACGAGTGCGCGTCAGCATACAGGTGGGTATGTGTATAGCGAGAGTGAGTGACGCCCACACTCCTGTATGTATCCGTTTGGCTGCATGGCATGTGTGCAGGCGGAGCGCGATGCGGGTGTGGGCGACAAGGCCAGGCTGGAGAGAGAGCTGGCTAACCAACTCCAAGTCAACGAAGAGCTCATGGTCAGCACTCCAGCAATCGGGTCGTCAAAACGCTTCTGTCTGCCGCCCACAGGCTGACCGTAACAAGATTCGTAAGGAGTTGGCGGAGCTCAAGGCCAAGGCCAAGGCGCAGAGAGTGGGCCGGGGCAGCTTCGCATCACAGGGCAGCGACAACATCTTCGCTGAACCTGACGACCTGCTCAAACCACTCAAGGTGTGTGACAGACAGACAGACAGACAGACAGAGAGCCAGCCACATGAAGCAGGTCATGCCCCATATTCACACAGGCTGAGAATGAGGGGCTTCGCATCGCCAATGCCGAGCTCCGCGCCGAGCGAGACAAACAGGACGCGGCGCTGCGAGCCCTCAGAGACGAGAGGGAGGGCCTCGAACAGAGCCTGGCGATGGAGCGGACGAGGGGCGCCGACGACATGCACCGCCGCATGGACGACCTTCTCGACCAGCTGGCCCAGAAGGACGCCGACATCGCCGCCAAAGAGGAGGAACTCGCCGCTCGGGACGAGGAGCTTGCCACCAAGCAGCGCGCACTCGCCGCCAAACAACGCGAGATCGAAGACCTCAAGGCACAGCTCAACGTATGTATGGTCTGATGAAACCAAGACCGTACTGTATGGTCGTGATGAATCTCGTCTCTGCTTTTGGCAGGAGTTGCCGGTGGTTCACGAGAATCTGCAGCAGCTTCGAGGCGAGTTTGAGCAGGTGCGAGCGGCCAGCGCCACTGGCGCCAGGGAGGCAGCCGACGCGAACAAACGACTCCGGGAGGCGCAACAGAATCTGCAAAACGCCGAAGATAAAATAAGCGACCTCCAGAGACAGCTGGATGAATTTGACAGGGTGCCTGAGTTACCAATGCACCAAGCCAGACTTAGCAATCGTTGCAGCTGCGTACACCGTTCTTGTCTGCCAGGACCGCGAGAAGGAGATACTGCGCAATGAGATCGACGCTTTGCGCCGCATCAATCGTGATCTCACGGCCGACAGCGAGCGCAAAGCCGAGGAGTGCCTCAAGAAAGACAGGGAAATCGACAAGGTCAGCAGCAAGACAAAGACAGCTTCAGCGGTGTCATGCCTCCTCCCTCTCTGTCTGTCGCAGCGTCTGGCACGGATCAAGGAGCTCGAGGACGAACTGGACGACCTCAAGGAACGACTACGCGTAAGGAACCATCCATCCCCAAGTGGCACTCAACACGCGCGCGCATACGTGCCTCTCTGTGCTCGACAACAATCAATCAATCAGGGACTCCGCAACCTGCGTGCGCTCAAGACAGCGTCCGACGTGGAGGCTGACTTCCTGCGCCGCGGTAGCGACAGGTCGGTGCAGGAGATGGGTCTGGAGATCACTTCTCTCGCCGGAGAGATCGAGCGCCTCAAGGAACAGAAAGCCGAGGTTGCGGCGCAGCGTGACCGGCTGCAGCGGGCCCTGGAGAAGGCCACCCAGGAGGGAGACGACTTACGTGAGAGCAACGCCGGCTTGGACTCACGCATCAGGGCCCTCAAAAAGGACAAGAAGAAACTCGCTGAGGCCCTCAGACTCGCTGAAGAGCGCCTACAGGGCCTCACTGGCGAGGAGGAGGTGACAGTGGCCAAAGGGAGAGAGAAAGGATGGCTCCGAGTGATGTGTGCCTTGTGTGTGTGTGCATGTGTGTGTGTGTGTGTGTGTGTTGATCAGGAGAAGGCTGACATGATGCGTGAGCTGGAGGTTTCGAGCCTCAGGAGGCTGCAGACGGACTTCGAAGTCGAGAATGATCGCAAGGAAAAAGAATTAGGTCAGCTACGCACACACTCAACCATACAATCCAGTGAGACATGATGCTCTTTGTGTGTGTGGTCAGGTCGTCGCACCACGGAGCTCGACAGGAAGGACGTCATCATTCTGGGGCTGGAAGACGAAATCGACAGACTCAAGAAGAAGCTCAAGGCGAGCGACGCTGTGTGTGACCGCAGTGAGTGAAGGAATGTGTGTGTCATTCATGTTTGTCAGGAGGCCGAGGAGGAGGGGCGCGTACCCGCCAGTGAGCTCGACAACGCCAACAAACAGGTCGAAGATCTCAAGAGACGTGTGCAGCAGCTCGAGAGGGAAAGAGACGCGGCGGCAGCTGCCGCGGCCGCAGGGGTCAGCAAATATCACGGCGACGGATACCCGTTGACTGCGTGTATCGTTTCGTGTGTCAGCTGGGTGGAGATGCGGATGCGTTGGCGGCGGCGCGTAAGCAGATTGAGGATTTGAGGCAGGCGTGGGACGACGAGAACAGGGAGAAGGAGCAGCTCGCCAAGGAGGTGCAGCGGCTGCAGCGCGAGCTTGAGGACAGCAACGGCCAGACAGACGCCGCCATGCTCGTCCGCGACGAGGTCACACTCGGACATCCAGACACCACGCCTCTCTCTGCGCCTGATGGATGGATGTGTGCCTCATCGTTTCTTCTTCTGTTCAGGCCATCAAGACGGCTCGTGAGCTGGAGGGCCTGCTGCAGGAGGTGGGCAAGCACACTCTGAAGGAGGGCGAGCTGATCAAGAAACTCGAGGAGGCGGCCGACAAGATAAACGACCTCGAAAAGGAAGCCAAAAGAGCCGAGGAGCTGGGCGGCCAGGTCCAGCAGCTCAGGGACGAACTCGGACGGCAGAAGGACCTCAGCAGACGAAACACCAAAGAGGCAGGCAGCTACACCAAAACACACTGATCTCACTATGCATACGTGTGTTGTCCATCCCTTCATGCAGCTGGAGAAGATCGTGCAGAATCTGCAGGACGCCCAGCAGGAGTTCTTCGAGGGCCGCACCGACTACGGCGACGAGATCCGCAACCTCATGGACAAGCTCAAGGCGGCCGTCAAGGCCATGGCCGACTACGAGGGCAAGAGCGACCGGGCCCAGGACCTCATGCGTCAGATGAGACAGCTCGAGCAGCAGATCGAGGACCTCCCCAAACCTCCCACAGAAGTCGGCGACGTCGTGGCCTCGAGGGGAGGAGGAGCGCCGAGGGACTCGTACGTGACGGCTGCTGAGGGCGGGCCGAGCCGGGCAGCGAGTGTGGCACCGCCGGCAGGCCGACCGCTGAGGGGCAAGTCGTTTGTGGATGAGGCGGGCGACACGAGCACAATGGAGATCCTCCTCGCACCGGGGGAAGATGACCAGCTCACGCAACCCTTCCACCCTGACGAGCTGGCGTAAGCCAACGAACGGGACACAGCGTGATACAAACCAATTTGTGTGTTGGTGTGTTGGTGGGTTGGTGTGTGGTGTTTTGCCAGTGCGTTCCGCAAGTACGCGTGGAAGCCGCGTGGCCGCGAGCTGCCTGACCTCGAGAAGGTCCAGCTGACGCCCGAACAGGCCAAAACCATCACCGCACAAGGTCATTCGCGACGGAGAGGGAGGGGAAAGGACCATTTTATGCAGGGGCCATGTGTGTACGTGTGCGGTGCGTGGGCAGGTGCTTTTTTCATCAAGCTCGACAGCCAGTGGGACACCAAGTACACCACCACCAAGAGGCGATGGTTCGTCCTCGACTTCAGCAACCCAAGTCAGTCAGATATACACAGCACGACATCTACGCCTTCTCTGCCATTCACACACAATGGTGATTGTCTCTGTCTTCCACATCCATCACATCCATCAGATGTGTTCCTGACGTACTATGAGAACCAATTCGATCCCGCAAAGGAGGAGCCCACGCCACTCGGGAACATACCGTAAGTAACCACACAGACGGGCGACAGACACGCACAAGAGAGAGACGCAGACACAGGAGGAGAGACATGATCTGATCCATCTGGGTGTGGTGTGCAGGGAGACGGATCTGCGCGACGCCTTCTACGATGGCAAGAAGCTCAAGATATCCCTGGGCAGCGAGGACTCCGACAAGATGCTCGAGCGCGTCCCGGCCAAGTACTTCCTCTCTCTCATACTCTGCGTCAGGTGAGAGTGACGTGACCCACACGGGAAACAAAAGGTCAGCCAATGAAATGTGCGCGTGTGCATGTGTGTGTGTGTGTGTGTGTGGCGCCAGGGAGATCGAGATGCTCAAGATACTAAAGAGGAACAGACGAGGGGGCGTCAGCGCGTAGATAGATGCTGCTATCTGCTGTCTGTCTGATGATATTGTGGTTTGTGCCTTGACCGCTGTCTGTCGGTTGGTTTTGCCTGTCTGATTGGGTGAGTGGTGGCCAGCTCTCTCAAAGTGGAGGGGCCATCTAGATAGATAGATTAGAGAATAGAGGACTGTGTGCCGATTGCTGCTGGACATATAGGCCCTGGATGGCTAGATTGATGGATGGATGGATGGACAATCGAGGCTGCTTGACTTTGTCTGATTGTCTGATGCACGCCTTTGATGCATGGCTTGGCACGGCAAGGAAAAGTTCTCTCCCTTCCCTTTGTCTCTCTCTCTCCCTCCGAGTCACTCAGACAGTCAGCCACTCACCCAGGCCGCGCAGGCCGCCAACGTCCAGCCACTCGCTGAAGCACTCAACTCTCGAACCAAATGTCAGCAATGCATTGCAATGGTATGTATGTATTGACATGCAACACGAGCACGCTATCTCCCCACCGCACTGGCACTCGCACTGGCACTCTGGCCCTGCGGCTGTCCCTCCTCGCCGCCCCACTCGAGCGGCAGGTTCTGGTCCCTGATGCTCAATATCTGTGGGCATACACACGCCCACACACGCAGAGAGAGAGAGATACGGACGAGTGGTGATGGTGTGTGCGTCTGGCGTGCCGTGCAGTGGATGGCATGGAGGTGTGGGGACGGTACGTACCAGTTTTTTGCGGACGAGAGAGATGAGGTTGAGCTGGTCGGTGTTGTGGTCGCCCGTCAGGCGGGTGGCGAAGGCCGCGCACCGGTGAGCGTCGATGTCGTCGAAACTCCTGCAGACAGAGTGAACGGACAAGCATAGGAGGAGGGCGGTGGTGGTGATGGGGGGTGGTGGGTGTCAGCCTCACGAGTTGCAGACGAAGGCGAGTCCGTGGAGCAACATGAACACGCCGCAGTCACACCCGTTGGTCTGCTGCGGCAAGTTGGTCTGAACGATGGATGGATCGTACACGCACACAGATGTGGGCCGCCGGTGTGGGTGTGTGTGTGTGTGTGTGTGTTTGTGACGTGACAGGGCCTACCTCGCTCTGCTTGGCCCAGAGGTGTGCGTCGGGCATGGGCTTCTTGAGTTTGTCCCGGTGCTCGTCCTTGAGGTACTGCAGGATGAACTCATAGAACCTGCAACACAAAACGACACGATACACACACATGGAGGACGATTCCCTCCATCCCTCCCTCGTCCATGGTCTGCCTGTCTGTCTGTCTGTCTGCTCGTGTCACTTACTTTTCGTTCTCCTCCTTGCGCCAGTTGGTGCCTCCGCCACCCAGCGAGTCCAGCACACGGATGCGCTTGTTCCTATACACACATACACACACACACACGAGGGTATGTCATGTGAGTGGGTGGTGGCATGCTACTAAGCACTTTACTTGATGTCGACGACGCCGAGGGCCCAGTGTGTGCCCATGTAGCCCATCCCCGTGGTGGGGTAGCCCTCGTTGATGGGCACTATCACGTAGTCCAACTCAAACACGTTCACCTGATCGAATATCCGAGCCAACACAGGTAGGCATGCGGCCCGGCCTGTGTTGATCAGGTGGGTGGATCAGTCAGCAGCCCCGCGCCCATACCTTCTTCTTTGTCGACCAGCGGCGGACGCTGTTGTAGTCGTACCTGAAGCCCGCCGCACTGGGGTTGGACAGCTTCTGCCAGAAGAACGAATTCGGGATCCACACCTTGGGCACACTGATCGATCCAACACACCAACACACAGAGCACCGCATGGTGTGTTGGGGCGCATGGTGTGTGTGTGTGTGTGGTGGGCGTAGTACGGTTTGCCAGCGGCGGCCTGTTCCTTGAGCCATCTCTCGGCCAGGGCGAACGTGATGTTGACGATCTCGTCGTTGAGCCACTCCAAATCCTCCAAACGGACTATGTCGTACCTGCACATAACAACCCAAACCCCACCAAACACGTCACCTCCGTCCAAGCCCGCTGCCGTGTGTGTGGCGTGGCGTGAAGTGAAGTGACGCACCCCAGAACAGGTATGCCGCTGACTTCGGCCACGGTGAGGCTCTCGCCCTTCTCCTGCCCCTCCTCCAACAGCTGCAGTGCCGCAGCCGTCTCCTCATCGTTCACCTTCAGAAACCAGGGTGCCTGCAGACAGACAGACAGACAGACATGCACACACACAGGTGATGTGGGTGGCTGT